GTGCAAAAAATATTGATAAAATCGAGTATCCCAATATTTTGCCTAGAAACAATTTTTATGCTTAAACCCCCAACCGCTAGATAGCAGGGTTGTAAAATGAGGGCTATGATGTTGAATGTTACAGGGACTGTGATAAATACAAATGAGGATCCCACTGTTCTGGCTGCATAAAAAAATAATTACAAACTATTTTTTTAACTCAAGATTTTATGCAAATGGTGGTGTGTTCATTTATACTATGACAGTTTTCCTAGAATTAGATTTTTACAAAATGTTTAATATGTTGCCCTTTCCACAGTATTGCAATATATTGCAATATATTGAATCATAACCCCTGTATTGTGATACGTAATGTATCTCCAGATTATTGCCAATATACAGGCCTACATTATAATTGCTTGCTCTTTTCTAAATATCTGCTATTTAGAAAGATATTTGCACATGTGGACACTTTAGGCTGCTAAACTAATCTTACTGAAAGATGGCAGGATGTGTAAGCTTAGATGACATATTCAGTATATGCAGCACAGGCTGTATTCAAAAGAAGATACAGTGACCTGTGATATTTCTTGTTTCCTTAGGAGCTGTGAATTTTAGTCAGAGTCCAGTGTTGTTCAAAAAACATGACATTTGGTGAACTACACACAGAAATTGCAGAGCACAAATGACATCCGTCTTACCTGCCATCAAATCTGTGCTTGAGGAAGTCGAACAATGCTTTTTGCATCATGTCGGTTACCTGCATAGAAGAAGAAGAGAAGAACGTAAAAAAGTTGTTATTGTTGGTCTTTGTTATACCTTTGGTTATTGGGTTGTTTAAGGTGCAATTAAATGTTATTCATGATTTTATAATTACATTTATGTTTAATTCTTATTTTGTGAGTTATATGTTTAGTTGTTTGTCAATAATTCACTAATTCAATTCTTATTGCTGCCTGTTTGGGCCAGAATGCTCTCTCTCCAGAGAGATTACATGTATGAGCCTCAGTCAGACCCCGACTCAGATGGTCCGGTTTACATTAAAAAACTGTCAATACTTTTACTATGCTAGTGTAAACTCTCACTCTATGTATCGTACCTATCACCAAACGACAGCCGAATATTTCCCTCGGGAGTTGGGGGAGACCAAAAACTGAGCAGCATTCAATACTGAAAGCATTAAATATTAGGGATATGTTTCTGATACTGAGTTTAAGGCCACATCTTTTATTCTATATTCCATCTCCCACGATTAAAAATCCATAATGTAAACAGTCTGCTTCAGTTTATCTAATAAATCTAACTATTAATAGCTATTGTATTCCCCTCATCATCTATGTACATAATGACAACTATAGTACTAGTTGTTCCTTATATTAAGTGCAATCTTACACACTACATTTATAAATCGTAATGGAAGCAATGAGACAGTTATGGGAAGCTACTCTTCACAGAAAAATCTAAATCTGCCAATTACACAACATATTTTCATTTGACCTCTCAGTCTCCTCGTTAGTCTGGCTGCAATCTGGATGTTACGTGGGCGATGACACACTCACAATTAGCTGCGCCAACAGCGAGCTATTTTTTAGGGGAATCTGGGATAGAAGTATGAGACTCATCTCCTTTCTGTAATCTTGTCCTTTTTCGCACAGGCAAACATCGCATGCAATAATCTCTGTTTTTGGGTGTCATTCAGTGACGCTGCATCAGGGCTATTTATTGCATCTGAACGCAGGCCATTAATCAGTGACAAAAGTAAAAGGATATTTTTGGTTTTCTTTCCAACCATGAGGATTGGCAGCTCACCTCATAACCCTTAAGCGAGGGTCCCACCAGCACTACAGGCCTCATGGAAGGAACCACATCATACGGGGGGATGTGCTCCGTCTGTTAACACAAACATGTTTAATCAGCGGCAGTAGGCTCATCACAAACAAGACAATTACAGCATACAGCTGTAATGGACTGCTGAGTCAGCTGACCTTGAATTACAATCAGATGTGTTAAATGGTATATTGCCATGTTGAGGCATGTAGCAAATGATAATGTAACTTGTCAAAATGTAATAAAAACAAAATTTGTGTGTATATCATGTAAAAATCTGAATATTAAGATTGTTGCATTTTCCTGACAATGTAGCACATTAACAAATTGTTTAACTGTTATACAATAAGTCTTTAATCAATATATTATGTTTTCAACACATTTAAAGGAACATATTCCATTTTGACCAACTAATAAATGCTTTATCATTTGCTACATGGATGGATGGACATGATGGCTACACTGACGCTGTAAGATAGTCACAAAACTACAGTCTAACCAATTAACACAAACCAGACCAAGTATCACAATAAGAAGTTGCACCACAACACTGTACCATGCCAAAGTGGTCATAATACTAGATACAGTACGCAGACCTGACAAAATAAAAAATGTATGATTTCATTTTTACAGTATTACTAACATAATACATAAATCTATTTCTTTGTTATTAACATTTAAACATGGTTACCTGTCAGCCCCAAAACATATTGGACACTAGCTATGGATTTGGTTCTCATAAATAACTGAATACCTAATTGTGAACTGTAAACATTACTGGATATTTAATGTTAAAATACCAAAATAATAATGTTGAATACCACTTAAATGTTTTACTTTATCAATCTGTATTAATCTGGTTTGCAACTGACAGTAGTTTGTGTATAAATATGTATATTAAAGATTTGTATTATGTAATAAATTGAAAATAATTTTTCAAGCTATAGTTTGACAAAAGAACAAAACTTATTAGTGACCTCAGGTAAAGATAAAGATCAGTAATGTTCAGGTTTGAATATTTTTCACGGAAATTTCCCCACATTTACAACTACTTCTTTAATACTGCATTTTCGTCTGGTATCCCCTACACCATAAACCACTGAAAACACCATCTAATATGATAAGTATAAAAAATAAGTTGTATAAAACCTGCTGAAAACTGCTTTTCCCAAAACTTTATCAAAAGTACTAAGATCGAGAGTATGTGTAACGGAAGTTGCAGTTGGCTCTTCAATACTTTGGCATCACAGAAATGGTGATGATTTGGCACTGTATACTTCAGTAGGGCTGAAGTATTATGTGCCCTAGGATGTGATATGAGGTTGTAACTTCCTGCCAGTGCTACTAGTTCCTGTCATTTTATGATGGCAGCAACAAGAGTCTAGTGGATGGTAATGAGTGGGTTTTACCGTCACCGACTTACCACTTTCTGTTTCTGCTTTCCTGTAGGAGGGGAGAAAAGACAGTGACAGTGTCGTCAGTAGCTGCTGCTGGGGGAGTCGTCGCCATAGTTATATTAGAAACATTCAAACATGCTTCACATAAGCAACTTTCCATCACAATTCTTAGCAAATGAAACCTATCAATGATAACCGGCATTATGAACATAAAAAAATATTTCTATTGTCCTAAGGTTATATTCACAAAGTCACATGAGTGCAGTTCAGGGGGGTTCATAGTCTTGTCGTTGGGTTCACACTGTGGTAAGCCCCAGTCTCAGAGCGCCTGCAGTCCTCAACTGGAGGAAGAGGAGGATCATGGGAAAACAACTCTACGAAGTGAACTTATGCTCTATGCAGAGACATGGGAAGGCTTTAGATTTTATTCTCTCTATGTTGTTGCGGTTCAGGAAGCTTGGCTCTAAGCTGGCAGCTGGCTATTAACAGCCCTCTCCCCCTGTCCGATGCTCTCACCTGCAGAGGATATGAGAGGTCGGATAGAGGCAGATACCTCATCCTCTACACTGGAAGAAGAGTTCCCTCCAGACTTACTGGAAAAGACAAGAGGGGATAAAGAAAGACAGAAACACACCATGGTATTAATGTGGAAAATGACAGAAAAAACTAAAAAATGTAACTGAGAGGAAAGTTGCAAAATGCAGCAGAAAAATGTTGATCAACAGTAATTTTTTGTTGCAATTTTGTGTTTGTGTTGTGTTACATCGCAAAAAAGCAGAGGAAAACATAGTGCTTTCAAGTCATGCTAGATTGTCAGTAAATATGAGCTATCTGCAGCAAAATGTTCACTTCTAATTGATTGTAATTACTAGTTTTTGGGTGATTACATCTTCCACTTGGCATCACAAATTGTAAGGTTGTCAACACAGGAAGGACAGGCAGCAAATCCACTGATGTCAGCAGTCCATGGCCATAAAAGTAAAGATTTTCAGTTATATCCACAGTAATACTGAGCGATACATGTGAAGGCCTCCAGTTTGCAATTATAAAGTCCTTCTATCCCATCACCATCTACATCACATTTTTAAGCCCATTGGTGAACAAAAATTAGAAACCTGGTCACATTACCAACGTTAGTCTTTAATTTCAGGTGTCCAGTTTTTAAAGACTGGGTCCCTAAGGGTCCTACATGGCCCATGTGACTGACACCTGGGCGGACTTTACACAGGATGAGAAAATGTCAGCACCATGCGGTGAAAAGGCCAAATGTGAGGCTCGGTTCCATACAGAAGTTAAAAGTCTGAAATTTACAGCTGATCAGTTACAGAACACCATAAGTTAAAAATGAAATTAGATTTTTATTTGGATGATGTTAAATTTGCTCCCCATGTAGCAAGTGACAACTGAGGACAACAGCTGAGCTCTAAATGACAAAAAATACCAAACAGTATCAACTTCAAAAAAATTTAAAATTAAGAGAAAATAATAACAATAATACTTTTTTAACATGACAAGTGCAGAATATGGTAAAAACACACATTTTTATGCTACAATGTGGATAATCAGGCTATGAAAAAGAAATTTTTTTTCAGCTGCAAATTCATTGTTTTATTTTCAGAATTTCAGACTTTTCCAACATCTCTGGAAGGCAGCATATCTCACACAAGGCTACTATTTTTAGGTTACAGTGAAAATGCAGTCCTGGTACTGGGGTTCAAATGTCTCTCCTTGTCTGTGAGGCTTGGTGACAAATAGCCAGAGAAGCCAAGCTAGTAAGTGAAGCGCTAAAGCACTCCAGTCTGGTAAGATTAGTATTAAACTCAACGTTAAGGCTTGAGGAAGTGCATGTGAGTTACTGTACAAATTCTGGCTGACAGAACCTTCAAGACACATTACACACAGAGGGAAACTAGGAGGTTGATAGGACCGCTAATTACAGCTATTGAAACTGTTTTACTGGGTACCGTCGGCCATGGAGCTGGAAGTGGATGCGAGGTAAATAGTCATGAGTTCATGGAGCAGACCTTGGGTCAAACAATTGGAATGGCAAATCGATGAGGTTAGCAGCCTTGGGTTACTAAAGACGGCTTGCCTACTGTATCTGATTAAATCCTTTAATTGTCTAAATCAGTCTAACCCAGGTCTGCTCAGGAGTTGTATGGACAGACATCAGCTGTGTCTTTGACAGCACAATAGAACCTCCATAGTGTTTGTTTTGCAATAGAATCTGTAAAAATGTAATGCTGACAAATGAATACAATTGACCTTCCCCTTTTTGGTCTGTGCTCCAATAACAATTGAGCAAGCATCGGTCAACTTTATCTTCTCCTGTAGTTAGTTATGCTATGTGCTAGGCTCGTCTATGTTGAAAAAAGACAACTATATTTAAAAGACTTTAAAAAAATAAAAGTGACATATATATAGTCACATCTTAATGTTAGTAAAATGCTTACTAACTAACAACTGATCTAAATTAGTGATTTTCCTGGCCATCAAATATAACTAGCTAGCTTACAATTAATGTAGATTAGCTAGCTAGTTATTTACTATTTTGCTAACATTAGCTAGTTGTGGCTCATCCTTTTCGATTAATCGGACGGTTATTTTCTCGGTTAACCAATCAATCGAAAATAGCAAAAAAATCATATCAGAATATCAAAATTTCCAATAATGAAAACCCCATCACTACTGTGTAACTGTAGAATGTAAACACCACTTTAGGTAGTTAAAATCCGCCAAAGCTTTCAGAACAAAACAATACTGGCAGGACCTCTGTTGTTGCCCAATAATCAACATGAAAGATAAGAATCGGTTGTTGTTTTTTGTTACCTGTTAGAATGACGCTCGTTTTACTACAGACACTGCGGGTCACCTTCAGTGGCGCGCCATGAGGTGAACCACCCATTGTTTCTACAGTAGCGCCCAGACAAACCAAACACTGTATCTAGATAGGGGATCATCACGGAGAGGATGAAACAAGTGAGTTGCAATTTGCAACTACACCACTAGATGCCACTACATTCTACAGACTGGACCTTTAATGTAATGAGATAAAGGTGGCATTCAGTGGTGGTTTGAACATAAAGCTTCAGCATGGAGGTTAAAATGAAGGCTATTAAAAGAATGGTTAAATGATACTTTTGACCAACTGTGGATGGCCATAGAGGGTAAAGTTCAGCCAGTGAGCCTGTTGTTAGCTTGTTACTCCAAGCAAGCAAAGTAAAAATGTGTCTTTTCCATAGAAAAGAAAATCTACCTTTGCCAGGGTAATTATTTCCATCCTTTCAGGGATTTGAACTTTGATTGAATTAATTCCTTTTTTAAGTCCTTACATAGCTTAAGTGCCTTTTATAGTTTGTTGTACAGTTGTCAGTATACCACATTCCCAATTATTTGGAAGAAGAAGAATAATGTACAACAATGACCTACAATTCCCTCACATTTTTTTGTGTTTACACTAACTAGTGTGTGACCTTATGATGCTTAGTTTATGAGACAGACGAGAAGTGAGATGAGTGTGATTTTCTGTTACTTACCCTTGGACTCGTCCTCTCTTTTGCTCCTGCTGCAGCCGGATGTTCTCGAGCTTCAGAGGGCTGGGGATGAAGCCGATCTCACAGCCCTCTTTCACTAACCGACCTATCCACCAGTCATTGTTGAACTTCTGAGGACGGCCAACATAAAAAAGAAGCGACAAACATGCAGGGAAAATCTCTGAATCAATAAGTTCATGTTTCATAGATTCACAGAGCAGTTCGATATAGTGGATGTCACATTTAATCAAAAAGTACACATGTACCTCTTTTATGTGAAGGAAATCCTTGGCGTCAAAGGAGATGGCTGTGGCTGGTACTGGAACATCCTCATCCAGTGCGCCACAATAGCTGACGTTGGTCCTTACAGCAAATGCCACAGGCTTAGTCTGGAGGATGGAAACACAAACCCAGTGAGAAACAGAGAATCCAAACAATATTCTATTTTAAAGTGGCCAGTTCTCATTAATCTTCCAGACTCCAAGGAAGCAGGAAAACTTTAGAAGTGAACAGAATTTGCATATTCATAGATTCTGGAATTTATAATGAGGTAGTAGTAGATTGTTAAGGGACCTTGAAGGATTTTAATGTAGAAATGTATTTATTTTTATCAGACACATATCATTGTTTCAAACAGGTGATTTGTTTATGACTTAATCTATGTCTGGAGGGAATCTTTAATCTGCAAAAACATTAACATGCCAACAGTAATACTAGTCAGTGTATGTGTATATAAACATGGCTGCAGATGAATTTGGCTAAGTAGTGTCACAGGTTGGCTACCTTGGCTCTTTCCAGTTGAATGGTGGCCTGCTGCTCCCTCTCCTGGCGGCTCTGTCCCGGTCCTTGGCTCTGGCTTGGGCTCTGGCTCTGGACCTGGGCCTGCACCTCCCGCTCCTCCTCCAGAGAGACATCTGAGTCTGATGGTCTGCTAGTATATGAATCAGCTGAGCCCTGCAAACAGAAATCACAGTCAGTTACTGGAACTGTACAGCTAAGATACAAACTCACATCGTTCAGGCTGTGGTCTTTTCCAGGCAAAAATCTGCAATATAGGACTATGGATCTTGTGGGGGGTACTGGGAGAATTTGTCACCACCAAAGTCTGAAACAATGGGAAAATATCTTGAGACAAAGACCAGACTCAAGTACTACAGCCCTGCTAAAGGCAGTTAAAAATAGTCTAGACTTTCCTGTCAGCCAGATTCACCCTGCCCAGTCAGTACAGTAGGCAAAGCTGCATTTAGAGCCACAGGAAATGGTCTGTAATGGTCTCAGTACTGTAACTGTGTGATGAGGGCATGGCTAACAGAGATGAACAATAGCACTCTGCTCCTAATAAGGTTTATTCCCTGAAAACCCATTTAAGATAGCAGTCAGGAAAAATGAGAAAAACTATTCTCAAAACCTCTCCACAGAATGAGACACTGTTCCAACATCAAGGACTTTAAAATCAGAAAAAGTGTGGACAGATGCACCCGAATGACCTACAATTACTCTCTGAAAAGACAAAAAAGAGCGCATTGGCTCTTAAAGATGTGCTGTAGCTTCATCCCATTGACAGCCAAAAGATCAAAACTGCAAATCACAATGAGGTCCACTTAAGAAAAAACTTCTTTATGGGACCAGGTTTTGGTGTTCAGATCAACTTGCATTGGGAGTGCCAAGTCCAGAGTGGTGGCTTGGCACTCTGAATACAGAACAGGTGAAATGGATGATGTAGAAAAGAGCAGACTGCCAGGAGAATCTCAAACAAAGTAGAATTTCCATTCCTGTGCTGTCAGCACTTTGACCACACACAGCCCATCTCATACTTCCAGACAATTCTGGATAGCAGCGAGTTTGTATGAATTCGGATATTTCTGCATCTTTCGGGCCAGGAGTTAAATTTGTCTTCGATCTGTCTCATGCAATAGTTCCATATGGTCATGAAACGTGGCACTGACACACACACTGCAGACTATCCACACCTTGCACACATTCTCCACACGTTACCTCATACATAATCAGAGACTAAAATATGTGGCAATATCAATGTTCTGGTTAGTCACGATAATATGGAAGACCATTTCCGCCATGAAAAAGAAAAAAACAAATGATAAAAAACGTACTTACCTCATGGTAAGTGAACATGATAAGATAAAATTATAAGACAGTAAGTCACAATTATCAGATAGTAAGTTAAAGTTATGGTATACTTTGTTAAAATTATAAGTTAGCAAGTCAAACTTAAGAGACAGTAAGTCAAGTTTGTATGTAATAAGTCAAACTTAAGAGATAGTAATTAATAATTATGATATACAATGTCCAAATTATGATGAAAAATGATGATACTGAGTGAAACCTTTTACTTAGAGCCGACCGATATGTGATTTTTTGAGAGCAATACCAACTTTAGAGGAGAAAAAATACACCAATTACTGATGTGGCAGTCGATTTGACTATAAACTAGTCTTAAACTTCTACGTGGATTTTGCAACAATTTTCATGTTAAGACTTGTATGTACTTGATGTAATGATACACTCAACTAATTCGATACACATTCACAATACTGCTGCCAAATCAGGCCTACTTCGTATATCACTATCTAACTAAATTTTTGTTCATTGTGCCTACATTTTCATGTTTTTTTTTCTTTTCTTTTCTTGGCAGAAACCAAGAATCCATACGGTAATCCACAGACCTTGCTGTTGAGTTTTCATTGGGAACTTTTTACACTGAAGTACAATCACCAAAATTGTCAATCAAAACTGCAGGCAAAACAAAGAAAAACTGTCAATTCTCATTCCCAAACTTCGATCAATTATTTGGGTTTTACTTTAGCTGGTACAGTTGTTGTTAGTGACAGTACAAACGAAAAAATTATACGACCTTGGATTTTAGATGCATGCGGCTAACCACAGACTTTTTATTTTTTGAGAATGTGCAGTATTTTACCAAGAATGCAAGTATGCCATGATTGGCTACACTGACTGAAGCCAGAAAGTTGGATTTTTGGATTTGACCATATCTTTGAAGGCTGACTGATTTGTTAGTTAGGCCATAGTTTTCAAATGTGCCCTCTGCCCTTTAAGCTAAGCCACACCAAAAAGCAACATAAAAAAATGGAGACAAGTGAAAATGATTTCCACCCTCTTTCAAGAGCAGTATGAATCATTAGCAGTAACATTTAACACTGAAAAAGAAAACAACAAAGAAATAAGCTTTTATGCACAATGAAATGGATATTAACTGAATAGAAACCCAGTAGTTTAGCTACTTTTAAGCTACTAACTAACTGGCAAACAAACCAAAAAGAGCTCAAACAAGTCAGTGATGTCTGGCATGGGCAGCATTACAGCTGCAGGAATAGCATAAGGACTCATCTATGTTTTGATACTGGACAAATACTGTAAAATAACTGGTACTTTTATCATTTAATTACACATCTCTGCATTGAGGTCACAGAGGCGCATACAGTGGATTTTTAAATGGCAGTATTTCCTTGCTGTCCATTTTCTTGCATACTGTCAGGGATTTTTATCACTTTAGTGCCTTGAGACATGCTTGTCTTGCAGTAGTCCATTCTGCCACACAGTGAGAATTCCAGTAATGCAACATTTTTTGCTGGGACATGCCTGGACCAAGTGCTTCCTTCTGCTGTGTTAATGTAAACTAATGATGATTCAATTAAGGGAGGCCATTAGTCTCAAGAAGATCGATCAAGCTAGTCATCACAGCTAAGCACTTTTTGGTTTTTACAAGCTAGCAGTAGCAAGGCCCGACTTCAGCACACTGCTCATCTGTATTGTGTGCATCCAATCACAAAGTGGCACGTTTAGGGAATTTAAATTGTTTCCTAATTTTAGGAAATATTAAAGTCCCCTCCAGTGAAATATGTTTTTTTTCTTGTTCCTACAGCCGGATGTTTGAGCTTCACTGTGCAGAATGATGACACTAGAAGGATGTTTTCACATTCATCTGCTGAAAGTGGAAAGTTTCTCTGTGCTCATTGAAAATCTGATTTTAAGGGGCGGGGCCTACCAGCATGATTTGTGACATCACA